TCTGGACAGTAGGATGGAAGAGAGAGTCCCCTCTTCCCCAGTATTTTCTGTGTAAATCCAGAGTAAATATTTTCGACATCACTGATGGATAACAGTTTTGTCTGATAACTGGGTCATAAAGCAAAGGCTACGGGCCTGTCCTCAGACAGATGCAAGGGTAAAGCTAAGCAGAGCAAGAATGAGCTATTCCTGTAATAACTGTACAATGTTCTAGAGCAGCTCAGTGCTATAATCAAAATAGCAATCTCTTTTAAAACTGTGATTCCTAATCTTTTTCTCTGTCTCTAGAAACTAACTAGGTGTGAGAATTTTGATGAACGCTTCAATGTAATTTTATGTAATTTGATGTTGCCATGTAAATCTCTTTTATAGGTCCCTTTAGATGGAATTTAATGCGGCAAAAACCTTGTCATCAGAAGGATTAATGCCTGCATTAGCATTTCCGCAATAAAATCAGAAGCTAAATGGTGGAGGCCACAGACACCTCAAACCTGGATTCCTCTGCTCTGCATTAAGTGCTGGAGTTTTTATTACTTGCTGTAGGGAAGCCATTGCCAATGCTTACAAGGAACTGCTTATCCCTGCTTCTCTGGGTCCTGTTTGATGGAGGTCTCCTAACGCCACTGCATCCACAACCACAGCAGACTTTAGAAGCAGAGCCAAGAGAAAATGTTGTCCCAGTGCCAGGGAGGAGGTCATCTGCCCAGCGAGTCAAACGAGGCTGGGTGTGGAATCAATTTTTTGTGCTGGAGGAGTACATGGGCTCTGAACCTCAGTATGTGGGAAAGGTAATTTTTTACTCTTTCTTTAAAAGTTGAAATGACACAGATAAATAGTAAAATGTGCTATAAATGTGTGCCTGTTTCTGGTGGGGCAAATCCTCTTCAACTGACAGTAGTTCCTTCTGTTCATCCCCTTCAGCATTCAGCCTTTAATATAGCCACTATAGACATTATTATTATTTTTAGTGCACAAGTTTATAACATTTACTTTCTACCTTCATATGTTTGTCTTAATTCCTTATCATTGGTTTTGGAATAAAACAAAAAATGGGCGTTCTGAGCTAAGTTTTGGTGCACAATTAACTTTAATTGAATCTATTGTCATGGCATACTTGATTTTTAGCAATAAATGTCAGACTGATATCAGAGATAAGATTTAAACCAGAAATCTCTAGCCCAGAATGCACAGTCATTTCTATGATTATATGATTACTCCAAGCCAGTTTTCAGCTAATGAAGATACCTGCTTTTTGCTGTTATCTTATGCCTCAGTATCATTTGCTTTTATTTCTGATTGTTCAGATTGTTTTCAAGTATTTCAATGTGTTTTATTGCTTCATAATTCAAACTCTTGCATTATAGCTTTTATACTCTGTATGCAGACATACACACACACATGCAGAGAATTTATGCAATTCTCTCTCTCATTATATGACCACTGTTTCTGTAATAGGGCATAAGTAATTTAATAGCCAACTGTTCGAGGGGGGTCGGGGGTGAATTTAGATAACAGAGTTTTCAGAAAGGAAAGCTGAAAACAAGACCTGAAAAAAATAGTAGCACAGTATATAATTGCATACTATGTGTAATTTTCAGTTTAAGTAAAGGCCCTTAGTCAATGAAAATAAGAGGTCAAGGATTAATTTCCTGCATCCTCAAATGCCAGATCTCTAGACAGTGAGATTCAAATTCACCTACCATAAAAATGAGGGATCATGCTTCAGTTTTTACTTTAATACCGTATTTTAACTTTTTTTAATGTAAAAGCTGGGAATGTGTCTGGGGGTTCTAAATATAAATAAAATTCACAGAAAATTAATTTTCCCTTCTACCCTTCCAGGAAACTATTCTGAGTAGAGGATGTATAAATAAAACAGCAAAAGACTACATGTGGTTCACTAGATGATTTGACAAACCAGCCAAAAATGTACTTGGACATTACGCATGTAGGCATTAGTGAAAGCACTAAAACATGTTAGTCAAAACAATTTACAAAGCAGTATGTTTATATCACAAAGACAATATAATCAGTTTGGTTTACAGTCTGAAGATAGGGGGATCACATAATGAAAAACTCCATCTTTGTGATGTCTGGCTGATAAAAAATACAGTTTCTCTAACACATATCTTTGTTCTAGCCACTTGCTAAAAATGCAAACGAGGACTCTAATCACATTCTGTGCTGTAGTACAGGCAGCATGATTGCAGTGCTTTTTACCTCAGAAGACAGAGATATTATTGCTGCACCACTGTAATTCATTAGTCTTTATTCCTTTATGTACGATAGTCTGGGTAGTCAGTTAGGGTCAGTTCTTAGCTGCCAAAATAATATTAATTTTGCACAAAATTTACTAGTATCAATACATTTGAATTTGAGCTTATAAGCAGCTTCAAAACTAATGGAATATTTTCATTAAGAGTAAGACTTATCACATCACAGATTTATCTGTCATGTTTTTAACTCAAGATTTTTTTGAACTCTTACAGGTTGCGGAAAAGTCTTTTCAAATATGAGGAAAGATCTAATTGCAGTTTAGCCCACACAATAGTGATGTTTCTTGACAGGATATCATATACCACTGTTACCTAATAAATAAAATAAAATATGGAAGGATCTTGATGGTGAAACACAAAACAAATTAGAATGTTTAATTAGTACATCAGTAACAATAAGTCAAAAAATCTGCTTCCAGAATAATGCAATTCATTCCAGATGATAATTTTTTTCAACAATGTTTATTACCTCGCAAGGATCCTTTTGATGTTTATTATAACTTATTTAATCTATATTAACTATTTGCTTCAATATACCTGAAAAAACAACCTGCCAGTGTTTGCATAAGTCGTCTTTGCCTAATCTCTTTAAAAAAATAAAAACCAAAAAAACCCAAACAACAAGATGGAGATGTTAGTGTTTTTTCTTTGTTTTCCACAAAGCTCTCAAAGAAGATAGAGCACAGAATGGGAGAAATTCTTTAGAGAAATTGTGCTTTTAAATCCAGATAGTGAAAGCCGTGCTTAGTATAAGTTCAAACCATTGTCAACATACTGAAATACACTCAACAGTGGCTAATCAATATCTTTAGATCTTATGTAATGTTTTAAAATCAAAGAAAATTTTTAAAGTATGAACTGCAATTGAATTCTTGATTGATTGCAGAAATAAATTTTGTTTGTATTTACTATAACTTAGCTTTATTCCAAAATCATATATTTTCAAAGTAATCTATTTTTATAATACTACTGTGCTATATTTTAAAGTGATAATAAGTATATGATAAAATGCAGGATATTTCACGTGACCTGAAAACACAGTGTTTTTATCTTCTTCTTCCAGCCATCATAGCCAGACACAATATAGTGATATGTGCATTGGCGTTTATATTACTTATTATAGAACTGTTGCACTAATAATGTCACAGTAATTTATAAGTAAGAATTCAATGTGTCTATTAAATCAGCTGATGATTTCACTAAAGAGTTAGGGGTTACTAGTTAATTTTGGAAGCCACCTGTAAGAGAATACAGATTTACAGCAATAATGTCAGCTGTTATCAGCCAACGCACTTAATTCCTTTTATGTCTGTTTTTAGAAGACTATCTCAAGAAGTGTCAGGTTGCAAATCAAAATATAGTTTAGAAACTGATGGGGATTAGTCTAGCTCATAGTTAGAGATCTTGAAATAGTGCTTCATGTTGACACATTAAAAGCCATTTAACCTGAATATTAAATCAAAGTTTGGAAATTAGTCTGCTTGCATAGTACAGAAAAGCCATAAAAATCCATCAAATTATCAAACAAAAGATATCCCCCTTTAGCAGAGATAAGTGGGATGAGTGGATTGAGAGCAGCCCTGTGGAGAAGAACTTGTGGGTACTGGTGGATGAAAAGCTGGTCATGAGCCAGCAATGTGTGCTTGCAGCCCAGAAAGCCAACCGTATCCTGGGCTGCATCAAAAGAAGCATGGCCAGCAGGTCGAGGGAGGTGACTCTGCCCCTTTGTTCTGCTCTGGTGAGACCCCACCTGGAGTACTGCATCCAGCTCTGGAGTCCTCAACACAGGAAGGACATGGACCTGTTGGAGTGGGTCCAGAGGAGGGCCGCAAAAATGATCAGAGGGATGGAACACCTCTGCTATGAGGAAAGGCTGAAAGAACTGGGCTTGTTCAGCCTGGAGAACCGAAAGCTGTGGGGAGACCTTATTGTGGCCTTTCAAAACTTAAAGGGGGCTTATAAGAAAGATGGCGACAGACATTTTAGCAGGGCCTGTTTCAATAGGACAAGGGGTAATGGTTTTAAACTAAAGGAGAGTAGATTCAGACTAGATATAAGGGAGAAATTTTTTATGATGAGAGTGGTGAAACACTGGAACAGGTTGCCCAGAGAGGTGGTAGATGCCCCATCCATGGAAACATTCGAGGTGAGGTTGGACAGGACTCTGAGCAACCTGATCTAGTTGAAGAGGCCCCTGCTCATTACAGAGGAGTTGGGCTAGATGACCTTTAAAGGTCCCTTCCATCCCAAAGCATTCTATGATTCTATAATTCCATCATTCTATGAATCTATGTAAGCAAACCCAGGCTAAAAAGCAAAATTGGAATATGGTGTTGCCATGTGACCCATAAAAATTAAAGGGATGCTGGAAGGCTTCCTGTAAAAAAAGGCTTGCTCAGGTGCTTTCTTTGCTGTGCTTTATGTGGTTTCCTGGTACTATAAAGCTCCAGAAGGCCATGCAAAACATCACATGTGTGGATTAAGATAAAAATTAATTATTCTTTTTTTTTGTGGCAAAGCTCAGTCCTCACTGAATGGTGACAGAAATCATCAGAGTATCAGATCCTCAAGCATGGCCATGTCCCAACACAGTTTCTAACCACGAAGAAGGCAGCAGTTTTAATTGCACTTATGAAGGGGTAGCTCAAGGGGCTGCAGCCGCACCAGAATATTATAAATCTTGCTGTAACCTTTCTTTATTGTTGTGTTTCAATAGTGACATGCAGAGGCAGCATAATAAAATGAAAGTTCAAAATAGACAAGAACAGTATAGGTTCTTCATTATCAAGATAATACTAACAAAAGATTTTAGTTGTTATACATGTCTCATGCTTCCATCTATATATGTCTTTGTGTTCCTAGTGTGGAAATGCATTACATCTTTCTCATGTTGTATACCTGCATAGTTGTTCTTAGTAAGGATTTTTGCTGGCTGTCCTCAAGCTTGCAGGGACAGGCATGTGGCAACTTGTACTGAACACAGACTGGGTGCATAGCAAAAGATTGTGAAGTCCTCTTCGAGGTAATGGTCATTTTTCTTCTGTTTTCCAGTGTGCAACAACCAAATATTCTCAACTTACCAGATACTATCTTGCTAATGAATAACCTATATGTTTTGCAACATGTTGTTCTTTAAACCTCCATTACATTATATATGCTCACGTACAAACTACTACAGATTTTTTTTTTTTGTTATGATCCCCACCAACTGAAAAATGTAATAGTCACGACTGCCTATGGCAGTACAGGGTGCACGTAACAATACGGTATTTTTCATCTGACTCAGTCCTGAGAAAGCCTCATCATCTTCAGAGGTTTCACCATATATCAAGGCAGAAACAGTGCTGATTTGGAGGAAGCAGAGCTCTATATCTGTGACCAGAACAAAGTGTTTTTCTGAAATCTAATAATTTATCCTCTGCATCTGAAATATGAGCATAGAACTCATTTATGCATTTTATAGTTGATAGTTTTTAATGTAATGAAATTCATGTTGACCACCTTCCTGAAAT